CCATGAATAGAAATAGAATAGAATAGAATAGAACAGAAATAGAAATAGAAATAGAAATAGAAATAGAAATAGAATAGAATAGAATAGAATAGAATAGAATAGAATAGAATAGAATAGAATAGAATAGAATAGGCTTTATTTCGCCAAGTGTGATTGGACCCACAAGGAATCTGCCTCTGGTGCAGAAGCTCTCAATGTACATGCAAAATATCAAAATAATAATCATAATAATGATACCAATAAGAGAAGGTTGCGGAATAGATGAGAAGATATCTTCAAGATAGGATAATAGTAATATTTTCAATCACAAAGATGAAAAATGTATAACAAAAATTCATGTGAAAAGCAAGGCCTTTTCCTGTGGAAGTAAGTTGCGGGGCTTGCATCACCGCATATCCTCACCGGTATGCCTCCTGCCTTCCTCCCTGTGGACCCCTGTGTCTGTTCTGGAAAACAACTGGAGGTTCTCTTAGACCTTCCTACAATCACTTTACACACAAAAAAGAGGGTGGAAGGGCTACGAGGGGCAGAAGGCTGCTGACTGATCACGGTTGATTGCCCAGCGGGTTGAGACCCAAGTGTTGCTTCCTGTTCATCTAGTTGAGGCACTTTCTGGAGATATGTAAGGGAGGGAGCTCAGCAGAGTTTGGGCAGAGAGGTCAAAGCGAAGGATATTTTTTACTGGCTTAATTTGTTTGCATATGAGGGAAACGCTCTTGTGACCATAGGGACCGTGCCCAGCATGTTTTCTTTGCTGAAGATCATTAGGTACAGGCCAGTTGCTCTCTTGAAGGGTAAACTGGAGAGACTGGAGGCAATACTGCCTACCCCATAGCCCTGGTCCAGCTTCTTAAACACCACCAGGCCTGCCAGAAGACAGCAGAGAGCCAAGTGGAGGGGATTTATTTATTTATTTGGTTTTGTCAATTGCTTACAAGATAATAGATATAAATAAAAACACAGTTATGAATACATGGATGCATAGAAGAAAATAAATAAATAAAAGAACAATAGGACAGGGACAGTAGGCACATTGGTGGATGGGGAGATGAAGAATGGGACGGAGGCGCTCGGTAGCGATGACAGGAGGTAACAGAACCATGGGCCTCTGGACAATGACCAGGTGCCACCAGCCTCAGAGACTGCCTGGCCCTAAGAACCAAGGAAGACACGTGGAGTGACTTTTGAATAATTCCTTTATTGTTGTTTGCCTAGCAACAGAATCTGCGCAGACCGAAGCATTAACTGCAATCACGTAGATATATATATACTCGATGAATCGCTGGGGAGAAGCCCGACCTCGCTCTCTTCCTGCCCAGCAAGCAGAGAGTCCAAGCGCTGCTCTCTCTTTGCCCTCTGGGGAGGAGCCCCTCCTGCTTGCCCCTCCGGATGGCATTCCTCAACCGAGGCCAGGAAGCTTTGCAGAGGCTACGGGGAGTTTGGTCCTTGCCTCGGCAGGAAAAAGAGACTCCCACCCACCCAAAAGGACTGAAGGAGCACTCTAGGCCAGGGGTCTCCAACCTGGGCCACTTTAAGACTTGTGGACTTCAACTCCCAGAGTTCCTCAGCCAGCAAAGCTGGGAGTTGAAGTCCACAAGTCTTAAAGTGGCCCAGGTTGGAGACCCCTGCTCTAGGCTACCAGTCAGGGGGGCTGGACAAGGCTGTGGCTGTGGAGAGGGGGAGGGGGAGAGAAAGAGAGGGGGGAGGGAGAGGGGGATAGAGGGAAGGGAGGGAATGAAGGAAGGGGGGACTGGAGGAGAATGCATTTTAGGAAGGACCCGGACAAAATGGAGGTCCAGGGGGAGCAGTTTGAAAGGGGGCAGAGCCGGAGGGGCTGGGCAGACCCAGCAGCCTCCTGGAGGCGGGGATGGCAGGGGGGGCATCCGCTGTGTCAGTCAAGGTGTGTTCGAGGCTGCGCTAGGTGATATGCCAATTTCTTTCTATCTATCTATCTATCTATCTATCTATCTATCTATCTATCTATCTATCTATCTATCTATCTATCTCCCGGGGGGTCCCTTTAAGAGCGGCGGACTTCAACTCCCAGAATTCCCGGGGCGGCACGCGAGGCTGCGGAGCTCTGGGAGTTGCAGTCCACGCCTTCTTGAAGCGGCTCAGGCGAGAGGCACGCGGGGTGGACGGCCGCTGGACACCGCGCCCTCTCCCGCCCGCTTTGGCCAGGACGCCGCCGCCGCCGCCGCTCACCCAGGCGGATGGCTTGGTAAACGTTCTCCGGGTCGTGCACCAGGTCGCAGAGCGCCATCAGGGCCCGCTGCCGCGTCAGCAACTCGGGGTGCTGCAGCTCCTCGTTGAGCTTGGGGAGGCCTCGGCGGCCGAAGGCCACGGGCGCCTTGGTGGGGTCGATGTCGGGGGGCAGCTGGGCCGAGATCCGCGGGTGCGCCATGCCGGAGAGGAGCCCGCCGAGCCGCGCGCCGCGGGTTGCTAGGCGACGGGGACGCCGGGCAGGAAAGTCTGCGCACGCGCACGCTTCGGGATCGAGGCGGGCCGGGTCCTTCTCGTGGGTCTTCGTGCGTCCGCCCGAGCAGCTTCGGAAACGTTCGGCTTCCTTCGTCGCTCCACCTCCTCTTCTCTCCACCCCCCCCCCCGACTCGCACCCGCGTCCTGCGCCTTTGGCCGCCGCCGCTTTGCGACGCCTGCCCACCTTTTCCGACCCAGCCGCTCCCAGGTACTCCCCGCTGCGCCGGGGCTGCCGAGGGCGGCGTGCCTGTGGCAAGGGGGTGGTGGGCCGCCGCGGCTCCCAATCTCCCCCTTCGGAATAATAATCCTCCGCGGTTGAAAAGTTCTTTAAAGCAAGGGCCTCCAACCTTGGCCCGCTTTAGGCCTGAGGGACTTCAACTCCCAGAATCCCCCAGCCAGCAAACCTCCGGCATTCCCCAGCAAAGCTGGCTGGGGAATTCTGGCAGTTGAAGTCCCTCAGGCTGAAGGTTGGAGACCCCTGCTTTAAAGAGCAAAGAAGGGCCGATCCGAGCAAGGACGGATGCGCTTTCCTTCCCAGCCAAGCACAGCAAATCGGTTGCCAGGAAGCGTGTTTATTTTCTGGATCACTTGGTTCCAAGAGCAGATCCCCTCCTGTACAAACACTGGCAGCTCAGAGCCTCGTGCATTTGCGGCAGGGGGGCAGGGAGGGGTTGCCGGGAGATGAGTCACCCGGAGGAGCCTCCTGGAGCAGCAGCGGAGCAGGACCAGACCTCCTCTGCTCCTTAACGGGAGAGGTTTTCCCTTGTAAGACTTGGCCAGATACCCGCGGAAATGCAGCTGTTTCCTTGCTGATCAGCTGGTGGCTGTTTCCTTGTTTCTGGCAGGTGGAATTGTGGCTCTTGGGTTCTGACCGTTACATCCTGAAGACGAGAGAGAAAAAAAGGACGGGGAACAGAAGAAATGGAAGGATTGTGGCAGAAATTCTGGAGCTTAGAAGCTGCAAGAAATGCCCAGAAAGCCACAAATTTGGAGGGCTGCGTGGAAAGAGGCAGAAGGGCTGTTTGAGGAGCAGGGGGTAAGCATGACTGTCCCCAAAGGGAAATGGAGCCTTTGTGCCAGGCGCAAAGAACCAGACCCGACGCCCTGAGCCGATCAGAGAAGTTTCTTGCCTATTTACAAGAAGCTCAGCTAGACTGACTGCACCCTCTTGGGGATAGGCAGACAAGGACTACAGGGACTTTAGGGAGAGGGTTGGGTTTGGGTCACTTTCTCCTGTGCAGGGATTCCAAGTTAGCTAGAAGGGGAGTCTACCCTGAGAGAGGCAGATATAAACGAGGGCTGGCCCGTTTAAGGAACGCAGGCCTCCATGGCCAGGAGATTGATGCCAGGGCAGCTGAAGGGTTCCTGGGGGCCTGGCAGGTGCCAGACGGCTGGGGAAGAGTGAATGTTGCTCCTCTCTTTACAAAAGGGAAGAAAATGGTGCCAGGAGAGTACAGGCCAGTCAGCTGGGTGTATAACTGTACAACTGACAAGGTCCTCAGGCAGGTAATGGGTGAGAAAAGGCCTTTGTCCAACTGTCCCCTTCTCCTCTGACTTGCCCTGCCCTCTTCCCCCCGGGGAATTCTGCATCCAGTTCTGGCACCGCCATCTAAGCAGGATGATGAGAAATCCTAGTGTGCTCAGGTGGCACCTGTCGATGCAATGAAGGCTCTGGGAACCAACCTGGACGCAGAAGAGAAGGCTGGGAGAGGTGTGAGGACGCTCTTGGGAAGTCATCCCTGGAAGCTTTCAAGAAGAGACTGGACTGCCGTCTGTCAGAAATGGTGTAGGGTCTCCTGCTTGGGTGTGGGGTGTGGGGCAGGGAGGTTGGAATAGATGACCTACAAGGCCCCTTCCAACTCTTGTTAATCTGCTAAATCCAAAGCCTGCCCAACAGCCTGCAATGAGCAGGAAGCAGAGTCCGGTTAGGGCCCAGGAGGAGCGAGCTGCCCACCGGCTGAATCGCAGCCTCTTCTTGAAGGGTGAAGTTTCTCCTCTTCTCCAGGGGTCTCCAAGCAGAATAAGAGAGGCGGAAGGGACCCTGGGGGGGCTTCTAGGCCAAACCGACCGGTGGAGCGAGTGGAGCCTCCACGGTCACTTCCAATCTTAATGCTGCGTTTCGCTTGGACGTCGCCTGGTCCAGCCCCGCTACTCCGGCCACGAATCCTCGACCTGGGATTGAAACCGGCGGCGGGCTTCGCGATGTTGCAGAGGAAACGCGTCCGCTTGGGGCGGACCGGGAAGGCGGCACGGAGACTCTGTCCGAAGCGCTGGTCGGCGGGGAAGCGGGAAAGGGGCGGCTGGGCTGTTGCAAACGCTGCCCGGCCAGCGCGGGGAGGAGCCCGTCCTCTCCCGCCCTCGCGGCGGTTGCCATGGCCACGCGGCACTAGCGCCGGAGTCGCCCGCCGAGGCCCTCCTCCCGCCTGCCGCTCGCGGGGACGCCGCCGCCGCCCTGCTCGGGAGCCCCTGCGAGAAGAACCTCGGGGGCCGCGCGCTGCCCTTCGCCGCTTGTCGGGTGCGAGGACTCGGCGGGAAGACGGCGGACTCCCCGGTCCAGAGCATTCGCGCCCGCCGCCGGGCTCCTTCGGGTGGCCGAGCGGGGCAAGAACCCGCCGCGGCCGTTCCGCTCCCCGGAGCTGGTCGGGCGCCGAAGGCTGGAGCGCGTCGGCCGGGCGGCTGCTGGGAGGGCCGGCCCGGGCGCTGCTGCTGCTGCTGCCGGCTGGGGGAGAGCCAGCAGGGAGGGAGGCGGCCACAGGCCGGGCGGTGGCGGAGGAGCCGGCGAGAGGCACCTGCCCGGCTGCGGTTCCGCGAAGCGCCTTCAGCGAGCGGCGCTCCCGGAGGCTGCGGCCGTTTGGGCTCCTCCGGCCGAGGAGGCTCCAGGCGAGGGGCGGGGCGGGCCCTTCGCAGGGCGAGGCGCTGCTGGCCAGGAGGCCCCGCTTGGAAGGGCGGCCGGGCGGCCTCTCTTGCGCCGAGGGAAGGCCGGGCGCGGAGGGTCCCTGCAGCAGGGCGGCCTCGGCCAGAGCGCTCGGGGGCTTCCGCCTCTTGTCCAGGGAGGGTCCCCCGCGTGGTGACGGGGCAGCCCCGCTTGGACGGAGGGGCCGGGCCAGGGCGGCTGCAAAGGCCGGCAGAGGCTGCCCACCTGTGGCGGGGGGGGGGGGGGGGGGGGATTGGGGAGGCTCCGTCTCTCGGCTTTGTGGGCAGCAGAGAGGCGGCCTCCTTCCGGGTGAGGTCGCGGCTTGTAAGGCCTCCCCGTCCTCTTCCTTTTTGTGCCTGACAGCCCCGCAAGCTGGGCGATGAAGGGCCCCCTCCTGCCCGTCAGCAGAGACCGGAGGATCTCGGACTTCCCCAAGGTAAGCAAGGACCGGTAAGCAAGCCTCTCCTCCCGGGTGGGCGGGGGGACGGTCCTTGCCCAGGGGGCGGAGGAAGGACTGGCCCGCCAGCTGCTGCTCCCCTCTGCCTGCAGTGCTACACCCCCGAGGCCTGTCTGCAGCTCAGGGAGGACTTCCACGCCCAGGTGAGGGCAGCCTGTCAGCGGAGGAACCCTGGGACCGTTGGGTGAGTCCTTTGTTCCTGGAGGTCCTCGGCCTGCTCTGGGCAGGAAGCCCGAAATAGAGAAGCAACAGCCCTTGCGGGGACTGACTCTCTGGCCCCCTCGCATGTCTGTAAGGAAAACGTGTCTAAAATAACAGGAAATCCCCCTCCTTTTATTCCCTGGCCTTCATAGGGTCCATCCGCTCTTCTCTTTGCTGTTCTTGCAAGCCACACTAGATGGGACACGCCAGATGGGTGCAACACCTTACATGCTACCAGGATGTTTAAACCTTTCCTTGCCAGAGGTGCTGAAGTGTTTGCACATTCTGCCAGTCCGTTTCATAGCTTGAAAGGATGCGAGCTAATAAAAGGGCTGCCCACAACATCATCAGCCGAGGAGATGCTCTGCTCTGGAAGCCAGGCATAGCAGGCATAGAGTCCCAAGAGCTTGTTAGGGCCACCACACCCTCTTTTCGTTGCAGACTTAGCCAAGCAAACCACCCGGGTTCATCCTGTTTTCCAATTCCTGCAAGCCCAAAATAGAAACTGCTTGGATTTGAAGGACAGGAGGAACCTTTGGAAAGCATCTCATTCTGGGTTTTTTTTAAAAAGTATTTATTTAAATTGTCCACCCAACTTCAGGAGACTCTGGAAAAGACATAAAAATGACTAAAAATATTGAATCAAGCCAACAGCCAAGACTTGCATACTCTAGAACCATGTTGGCAAACCTATGGCATGCTGAGCCATTTCTTCTGGCACGTGAGAGCTCACCTGGAAGAGCTCCACTGTGCATGCGCGTGCATCGCCACCGCCCAACAGCTGTCGGATATCTAGCGCGCATGCATGGGGGGGAGGGTGCATGCGCAGAGACATGTGGCGTGCAGGGGATCACACGAGCATGCACAGTGATCGTGCATGCAGCACAGACACACAGCAAGGGGATTGTGCGTGCATGCACAGGTGATGTGGGGGGGGGCAGCATGCATTGCCTTCTGGGTGGTGGCACGCGAGCACGAGCGCATGCGCAGTTATCAGCACAGGAGCCGAAAAAGGTGAGCCACCAGAGCTCTAGTAAATAACAAAATCCGAAAACCAAACAGAGGCCATTAAACGAATAACAAGCATCGGTCCCACACCTGGGACCCAAAGCTTTCTGGAACCCCCGGAGAGAAGATCCTGATATTTAGGGGGTGGGGGTGGGGGGCTCTTCCAGAGAGTGGGGCCAAACAGAGAAGGTTCCCTGCCTTGGTCCCACGAGATGCCAGTGTTTAATGAGGGACACCTGGAGTGCTCTGTCTCTGCTGGACTGTACTCAAAAGCAATTGGGGACAAGCAGCCTCTCAGGTGGCATCCACACCTTGGCTCACACTGGGCTTTATAGGCCATAATCGGCACCTTGACTTGCCCCTGGAAGCCAACGGGCAGCCAACGCAGCCCACAGAGCAGTGGTGGACACTCCAAGAGGCCCCTGTTTCTGCTGGCACCGCTGCCTTTTGAATCCCCTGGAGCTTCTGGGTGGCCTTCGTGGGCATCCCCTGGTGGAGCACATGGCAGGGGTAATTGTGGGATGAGCGACTTTGGGAAGGGCCTCCCGATCGAAGAAACGGCGCACCTGGCACACGAGGTGAAGCTGGGCAAGGGGACGGCCGACAGGGGAACCCTGGTCGAAGGAAGGCTTAGGGTGAAGCCCATCTTCGGGTTACCGGGATTGAGAAGCGCCGCATGAAAGTTCAGCCATGGGTGTTGCTCTTCCTGTCACGGGCGGGAGCGGAATTCACCAGGCACAGGTTGGTGGGTAAAATGCGGGCCCAGCATTGTGTCCAAAGCTGGGCTGCAGCCTGGAGGCCGTTGCTGAAGCCACCTTCATCCTGACCCCCTTCACCTGGGAGACAAACCCACTTAAGGCTGCCTGGGGAGGAACACTTGGTGCCCCCTGCATGCCAAGGCTGGGAGGTTGCTCGACACCCCGTGCTTCACCATGGCCGGCCCTGGGAGGATCCTCTGGCCGGGGCATTTCCAAGCTCCTCGGTGGGGGTCTGGTGCTCTATGCCAGAACTGTAATGGTGAGGTGGGCGGGGGGGGGGGGGGGGGGGGGGGGGGGGGAGTGCGGCTTCTCAGGGAACATGAGAAATTGACCTCTGGGAAAAGAAGAGGAGAAAGAAGTGATTGTGCAGGTAACACTGGGATCCAAGCGGAAACATTGACTGCATCTTCTAGGACGGGGCTGTCAAACTCAATTTCATTCAGGGCCGCATCAAGGTTGTATTTGACCTTGTGGGGGGTGGAGTGGGAGTGGTCAGGGTGGGCGTGGCCAGCTCGACATCACTTGTGTCGGGGGCCACCTGTGGTGGCCTGAGCACTCTGCCAAAGAAAACAGGCTCCAGAGCTCTGTTTTCAGCTGCGACGGCCTCCTTCCACTCTCTGCCAGTGAAAATGGAGCCGAGGAAGGCTGCCCCTTGCCCTCCCGAGCTCTGTTTTCACTGGCAGAGGCACCACAGTCTCTCACTGTTTCCAGACCAGCCCCACATGATCTAAGCACCCCATGGGCTGGAGTTTGACACCCCTATTCTAGAAGATCAATTATTATAAAATGGTCTCCCTCTGTGAATATAGAATACAATAGAATTCTTTATTGGCCAAGTGTGGTTGGACACGCAAGGAATTTGTCTTGGTGCAAATGCTCTCAGTGTCCATAAAAGAAAAGATACATTCATCAACAGTCAAGAATCATCAGGTGCAACACTGAATGATAGTCATTGGGTACAATAAGCCATCCAATCATACTAGGAAACAGTCAATATAAATCGTAAGGACACAAGCCACAAAGTTACAGTCCTACAGTCACAAGTGGGAGGGGTGGGTGATAAGGAGTGATGAGAAGATTTAATAGTTATAGTAGTGCAGACTTTGTAAATAGCTGGACAGCGTTGAGGGAATTATTTGTTTAGCAGAGTGATGGCATTCAGGGGAAAACTCCTTGTGTCTAGTTGTTCTGGTGTGCAGGGCTCTATAGCGTCGTTCTGAGGGTAGGAGGAGTTGAAACAGTTTATGTCCAGGATGTGAGGGGTCTGTAGGTATATTCTAGTCAAGGCATCTCTAATCTAGAAAGTCCCAGCAATATGCTGATTAAAATGTTGGACAGTCAACACACACACCCCGCCGCCTTAGTCCTGAAATGTCCTGGGGTGGGGCTACCTGCTCTTCTCGCTCAGCCCAGCCTTCCTGGCGCATTTGTGAAGGGAGAAGTAGGAGGAGGTGGCAGGAAGGAAAGGCAGGAAATGTAATTAATATGCAAAAGCATATTCTGATGCCCATTTGGCCGGAGAGACATCTAAATAAATGCAAGATCTGTGTCAGTCTGTGCTCCATTCGAAATCCAAGAAAGAAACACTCAGACTCCAATGATTCGAGCAAAGTTTTTTCCTTTTACTGAAATTCAAAGTGGAAGCTACAGGTAAAATTCTGAACCTAAAGAATTTGGCGCGCAGATCACATATACAAAGGGATGGAATTGTTCCCACCCCCCCAAAGTCCAAAAGACTCTTCCAATTAAAAGTTCTGGATATGGTCACGTGGGCATCTTCAGGTGGTGAGGAGGCTTCTGTCCGTTGACCTTGACATATTTTGATAAAACTCCGCAGCTGCGCAAAGGAAAGAAAAACTAGGCAAGGAAATAGAAACTCAAGGACAGGAATTTATACTCCCCCTCCTCCTTCTCCTTTACAGCACAGGAATGTAACACCTCCAGCTTTCTTCCCCTCCAATCCCCCCACCCCAATTACTAATGACAGCCAAAAGACGGAGAGCAGTGAGGAAGAAGCGTAGCCATAGAAAAGATCTAGAACAGGGGTGTCCAACCTTGGCAACTTTAAGACTTGTGGACTTCAACTCCCAGAATTCCTCAGCCAGCAAAGAGTTGAAGTCCACAAGTCTTAAAGTTGCCAAGGTTGGACACCCCTGATCTAGAAGATATCTTGAAGGCTGACAATCTGTTTGTTTCGTGGAGACAAATCCATTTGGTTCACCTTGATGTCCTGATGTTTTCTTCACTGCAGATCAGGAAGAGGGTCCTCCTATCGGTTTCTACATTTCTGAAGCCCACCCCCCCCCCCCCCAGTTTGCTTTATGCTCAGATTGAAAAAGAATGGGGAGGGGGTGGAAGCAGAGGGGTGCAAAACCCCACTGGAGCCTGAGCTGCTTCAAGCTCAAAAGGAGGAGGCGATGCCTCATGATGGGGAGGACAGTGCCAAGTTGGATCAAGCCACGGAGAGCTCTGGATTTTGCACTCCCCTCCTTGAAAGTTCATTCGCTCGTGAAACAGTCTGTTTTTTCCCCACCCCCCTCAACTGCATCAACGTGTTCAGTGTGAAAATGTGTGTTCCAGGCTAAAGATCTCCAAAGTGGTCGTGGTGGGAGACCTCTGCGTTGGAAAAACAAGCCTTATCAACAGGTATTACGACGTTCCCTTTCCCAGCAACAGTTAACGGCAGCCCCATGTGGGCTTCCCCCCCCCACTGGTTATTCTAAATTCACTGGGCGCAGGGATCTTTGACTGCCACGCAGGCTGCTTTGGGCCCTTTCTAGGGTGGGTGAAGCCCCCGTTGCTTGGGAGCACTGGAGGCTGGTGGAACCGCTGGGCCTCAGAGCCAGGCCATGGGTAGGATGCGTGGGAGGAGGAGGAGGAGGAGAAGGCTGTGGATGGACCTGGAGCTTGAAAATTGGACTTCTAGCAAAAAAGGTCTAATGGCAGGTGTGGGTTATGCCAGAGAACCAGGAATATGTACCCAGCTTCTAAATAAACATCTTAGGAAGGAAGTTACGACATTTATTTTATTTTATTTATTTGTCAAACGATTATAAGATAACAGGTATAGTCATGAATACATGACTTATATGTTATAACAGCATAGTCATGAATACATGAAATGGATACGTATAAGAAAAATAAAAAGAAACAATAGGACAGGGACAGTAGGCAAGTTGGTGCAGACCTCTTAGGAAAGGGGTGAGGTCAATAGTAGGCAGTCTAAGGTTAAAGTTTTGGGGGTTTGGGGAAGAAACCACCAAGTCAGGTGGTGCATTCCAGGAACTAGCCACTCTGTTGCTGAATTCGTATTTCCTGCAATCGAGTTTGGTGCGGTTTATTTTGAGTTTGTATCGATTGTGTGCTCTTGTGCTATTATGGTTGAAGCTGAAGTATTCATTTGCAGGTAGGACATTGCAATACATAATTTTATGTAGTATACTTAGATCGGAACAAAGGCAGCTTAGTTCTAGGTTGTCTAGGTCTAGAATTTCAAGTCTGGTGGCATAAGGTATTCTGCAACGAGTAGAGGAGTGGAGAACTCTTCTTCTGAAATATTTCTGGACTTTCTCAACTATATTAATATCGGATACGTAATGTGGGTTCCAGACTGATGAGCTGTATTCAAATATTCGTCTAGCAAATGTTTGTATGCGTTGGAAAGAACTTCCTGGATTTAATCCAAAGGTGCTTTTTCAAGAGGCAATTGGACTTTCTGGGTTTTTTGGGAAGATGTTTCGCTTCTCATCCAAGAAGCTTCATCAGCTCTTTGCCTCTTGAAAAAGCACCTTTGGGGACAACCATGACTGAGAATCTCCTTAGACTTCCAAGATTTAAATGACATGCTGCTGTTGTGTTTTTTTTCCTTAACCATTTTTCAATTGCAGGTTTTGTAAAGAGGTTTTTGACCGGGATTACAAGGCAACGATTGGCGTGGATTTTGAAATTGAGCGTTTTGAGATCGCTGGGGTGCCCCACAATCTTCAGATGTAAGTTGGAAAGCAGCTCCTGTCCCTGCTCCCCGTTTCCAGGGGTGTGGAAGGTTTCACTGGAATAACCTCGAAGCAGCATTTCTGATGGAAAAGGCAGCCTTGCCTTGCGGAATGCCTTCGCTTGAGGGAGCGCGCAAATGTTATGCGCATGCACTTGCCCCAATGCACGGAGAACTTTTGCCAAGCGAAGTGCGTACTCAGGACGTTGGGCCTTGTGCTTCTACTCCCAGATTCTGCCAGCCCTCCGAGGTAGACCCGACTGGAACACCAGAGTGCTCAGACTGCTTCTATTACGTAGTTGCAGTGTAGGTCAGTGGGTGGCTAGCCTTTTTCGGCTCCTGGGCCGATAATTGCACGCACGCACGCACGCAAGCCAGCACCCAGAAAGCAATATGTGCTGCCCCCCCCCACGCCCCTGCGCATGCGATTCCCCCCCTCGCGTGCCGCATCCCTGCGCATGCACGTGAATCTTCCACGCACCCCCCCACTCCGCATGTGCACCAGATACCTGACAATCAGCTGTCGGGCAGTAGCACGTACACGCATGCGCAGTGAGGCTCTTCCGGGCGACCTCTCCGCGTGCCATTTCCGGCCCACGTGGCATAGGTTCGCCAACAGAGGTGTAGGTAGTCCTTGACTTACGACCATAATTAGGTCATATGTTGTAAAGAGGGTCACCCGATTTTATAACTTTTCTTTTGACTCAGAATTAAACATTGTTTGCTACGGGGCATTTTTGCTAGAAATAAATGCCAGTTACTGGCAAAAACATCATAAATTGTGACCACATGGTCCTGGGGTGCAAATGCAGGCCGTTTCCCACCTGGCCGAAATGTGGCCAGGTGACTGCTGAAGAGGGAGCCATTCAAACTCTGAAATTGGGTCGTAAATACCTCCGGGGGGAGGGGTCTGTGACCGGTTCTTGCCAGCCAGAAATATGCCTGTCTCCTCGCTCTTGAGAAGTCGGGCACGTCATGTCTGAGAAGCTTTCTCAAATTAGTTTCTGCCCCAGTTCAGATTTCTCTTATCTGATCATTGCAGCTTTTCCTCCTGTCCCTCAAGGTTGTTCCTTCTGCCTGTTAGAGACCCCCCCTCCCCCCCAGCCCGCCCTCTAATGTTAGATCTGCAATCCCAATGCATTGGAAGGGAGGCTGGAGAGTTACGGTCTGGTTTGGTGCCCAGGCAGGTTTTCTTAGCTGAGCCTGAAAACCTGCCTCTCTCCTAAGCCCTGGAGGCAGAGGAGCGGAAAGCGTTTTTAGAAGCTAAGGAAGAGTGAGGATATGCGCTTGTTCACTTAGCCTGGTCTCTTGGGGCCTTCAGCTTAATGTGCTAATGGGGACATAACCAGTGACCCAGAATGGAAGCTGGCTGGCAGGTAAGTCTCAGAGGGAGCTTCATTTGAGCCTTTATAGCACAAACGAGGAACCCAAACCTAGATGGTTGTAGCACTTGAGGGAGTTTCCTGGGAAGGTGGTTTTTGTGGTTAGCTGGCTGCGGGTGTGGACGGCTGACGAGAGCGAGGACTCAGATGAGGGGCCAGGACCATTAAGGAGTGGACTGCTGCCTTCAGAGATTGTGGGGGCTGGCAGCAACGATGAGGAGGTTGCCGAGGAGCCTGTGCCAAGTGTGCATGCGCGCAGGGCTGCTCACAGGAAAGAGCAGTTGCAACAGCACGGGCGACTCGGGAGTAAGGCTGGGAGGTAATGGCCCCTCCTTCAAGAAGATAAAAGCCAGATGTGCAGCGAACATTCTTTGCAGGAAGCAAAGACGTTTTGAAACTCAGCCTTGTGGACATTATAGTATCTTAAGCTAGACTCTTATGTTGTGAAATATTTCTTATCTGTGATTCTTGGCAGTCTCGTACAGTTTTGGCAAGGTTTGTGTTTATCAAAGTTAATGAGTTTGCAGCAGCCTTTTAACCAGGGATTCATAAGACTTGTTAAAAGGTTTCTGTTCCCTTTGGTTATTGTTTGTCTTATTGGAAAAGGGTTTGAGTCAGAACAGCAGTTGAACAACGTCCAAATGCCTAGCAAACTTGTTGGGGGTTCTTGAAGCATCCTCAGGGTCGCATAATTTACATTCACTGACTCATACTTACGACACTTACAGTGTCCCAGGGGTGATGGGATTCCCTTTTACGACCTTCTGACAACCAAAGTCAGATTCACTTAATGACCTTGTTAGCTAGTTTTAACAGCTTCATTGATTCACTTAACAAACGTGGCAAGAAAAGCAGTAAAATGGGGCGAGACTCGAGTGTCAAAATTTCTCACAGCAACATAAATTCCGGGCTCCATTGTGGTCGTAAGTTGAGGACTCCCTCTGTTCAAGTGGGGGATGCATAGGTGCTGATGAACAACAGCCAGACTGATTTTTATTCCGCGTGTATATTGTGTGTGCGTTTTAATTTTGAAGAACGGGAGGACGCTGTTCCTCGGGCTTCCTGCCCAGTCTATGCTTTAGCTCCGCCAGTGGGAGACTGTAGGTCCCCCCGGAGCCCCCGGTGACTTTCTCCTCCCCTCCTGCCCAGATGGGACACGGCCGGCCAGGAGAAGTTCAAGTGCATCGCATCTGCCTACTACAGAGGAGCGGAAGGTGAGCGGAGGGCGGAGGCGCCTTCCTGGTTGGAAACCCTCCCCTCCATCTTTGGCGGGGCCAACCGGTGGCTCAGGGGCTGCTCCCGCCCACCTTGCACAACCTTATTTTACTTTCTTGGCAGTAATTATCACCGTCTTCGACTTGGCTGACATCCAGACTTTGGACCACACCAAGTAAGTCGCCCCAGTTTCCCCTTTGTGGCTGACGCTGCCTATCCCACTGAGCCACGAAGGATGGAACCACGTTTATTGGCTGAAGAAGAGCTGCCAGCTTTTACACAAAGCCAAAGTCAAGCGAACCCCGTTAACCGTTCAGATGATTCCTGCTCGGCAAATTCTGCCATCTGTTAAGATTTTTTTTCCAGCCATTGTTTGGCCAAAATAATACCATGGTGGGAAACGACGGTGATATGGAGTCCACGGTGGGTGGTGAAGTGGCCTGTTAGTGTCCCATCGTGAAACAATAAGCTTACCAGGATGATGAGAGGGATCTGATCCTACACACCCGCTCTGACTTCACACTCACATACACACACACACGCTGGAAAGGCCTTTAAGCTGGCCTGGGGCAAGTTTCTGTAGCAAAGAGCCAATCTCAGAGTGCTCATCACCAATTGGAATTTGAAATCATGGCTCCTCCACATTTAAGGGAGACACGTAGCCTCAGAAAAGCCCCGTGCAGATTAAATATTGATTTGCACGCGGAGGAGGAGAGGCACGCGGGCATGAACTAGGTGAGGAGCAGGGCTCCACACACCCTGCTAATGAGGGAGGCACTGTTCTCTTCCTGCTGCGGTGTGGAATCCAGCTGGGCAGGTCTTCCCGAAGGGCCCTGGGAGGGGGAGGGGGAAGGCTTGGCTGGTCCTGGTGCCCGTACTGAGCCAGTTGACTCAAGAGCCGCCTCTGCAGGCTGTGGGGGAGAGGAGGGCACAGCCACGCCCCGTTCTGCCAGACTGCCTCCCTCGAGCGTTGCCTTCGGCTTGGCTCCTGTGGCTTTAGTCTTTCCAAGGGGGAGGATCCCTTGGCCCTCTCCAGCTGGACTTGGTGGGCAGGAGGCCGGTGTCGGAGGGGACTGGCGTAGGGACAGCCTTGCTTGCTGAGCAGGAGAACAGATGGTGCGCCTTCCTCTCCTCTGCCCTCCGCCTCTCCTTCCCGTCCCCTCATCACTCGGGGCACCACTAGACCCGTTTGCCAGTTCAAAGGAGCAACGGTGCAAACACAGGCAGATGGCTGGCTGCCACCTGATTAGGTTTGCAGAGGGGAAAACAGGCTGAATGCAGAGAGGCAGAGATCTATTCGTTCACTGGAAACGTTCTAGTTCCCCCATCCCCACCACAGAAGAGGCTCTGGGTGGCTCCCAATCAAGAATTAAAACAACATAAAATCGTATTAATAAAAGCCATAAACATGGAAACTAGAAACCAGGCACCGTGTCAAGTTTCCAACGTGCAGCCATCCCATCCTGTCGTTTGGGGGAAAGCGAGGCGGGCTGAAACCCGCCAGGCTCGAGGGGAAGGGGCAGCGACTACCACGGAGAAGGCCGGTTGCCTAGCACCCATAAAGTGGCTCTATTTGGGTGAGGGGAACAGGGCCGTGCCCACCCTCTTTGATCTGGCACGATGGGTAGGTGCCCTCGAGGAAAGCAGCCCAACAGGCCACCTGAGTTTGGGAAGGGATGACCAGCATCTGGAATGGAAAGAGACAGGAAGCTGTGCAAGTCGCGCCACAGAGATGCTACGCAGGCAACGCGTGGCGGCCCCATCGCTGCACGCGGCTGTGTTTCTGGACTAGCCGAAATTTCCGAGAGGTTTTCAAAGGCAGCAGCCCCACGCAACTCACACCGCAGTGATCCATGCGGGAGGCGACAAAAGGCACCGGTGACCATTCAGCAGGTCTCTTGCCAAGACGCTCTTTGTTCGCTGCCCTTCCAGACCAGAGAGCCCAGGGGGGAGCCAGCCCGCTGCAGCAGGACAGGGGAGGCACCCCTGGGGCTGGCAGAAGGCAGCCTCCCTGGGTGACTTTCTGGCCCAGGACAGGACTGGGACGGGGGTGTCTTCTCAGCGTGTCGGAGGATCCCCTCCCTCGCTCACCTGTTCTCTTCTCCCTGTCCAGACGGTGGCTGGAGGACGCCCTGCGGGAGAACCACCCCGGATCCAGCTTTGTGTTTTTGGTGGGAACCAAGAAGGATCTGCTGGTGAGCCTGAAGAACTCTTATCTCCAGAACCAAGGTGGCCGGTTGGGCATCCCATCTGCAGCCCAGCGAATGGAGCATGTCTCTCTTTGAGAGCCCCTGACAGCCGGGGGTGGGGCTGATGCTGGCTGAGCGAAGAAGAGCTGGGAGGCCCCCAGGGCCTGCTCCTCCACCAGAAGGGACCAAGGTGGTCAAGACAGCAGCCGAAACACACCTAAGGGACAGGCAGAACTTCCATCACACGGTTCTGTCTCCCTTCTTGGTATTTCTGACCATAACCTGTTAGAGACCCTGGTGGCGTTATCCCAGCCTAGACCCATTCTTTTGGGGTGGTGAACGACTGAGAACACGCACTGGGCACTCTTGTGAAGCAACTGAGAGGAGGGTGGCTCCTTTGCTGCCCCTCCACCCCCAAAACCCTGTCCCCTCCCTACACCCTGGGCCTTCCTTCTCTCTCCAGGGAGGTGGCTCCCTCTGCCCATTATTGATTGGCTCAGAAAGCTGCTCTGGGCTCTTGGAAAGGAAGTGGGGGCTGGAGGTGAGGCCTGGGGGCTTCCCAGCGGCCAGCAGGGCAGGGAATACGCAGGGGACCCCAGGCTGTCTGCCCCCCCCGCCCCCACCCCCTTTGTGTTGCAGCCCCCACCCTTTTCTCAGTTTTCTTGGCTGTATGAAAGGTCCGCGGCTTGTTGGGATTGGCTGTGTGGCTCCCGATGCCACACCCTCCACTTGGGGCATCCAGGCTGCCTGCCACGGATTGGGTCAGCCGCCTCCGGCCAAGGCGAGAGAGTCCGTTGTCCCAGTGAGGAGATACTGGACAAGGGCAGCCACTTGGCCCCCAAGAGGGGCAGGAGGGGAGGGGGCTGGCCTGCAGACTCCTGATAGGCCAGGCTGTGGAAATTTGGCTGCAGTCAACTCAGCCCCTCCTCTACTTTGGAGGCCTTGTGAGCTCACTGCCCCCCACTCCTTCTCCTACAGCTGGAAACACCCCCACAGCCCCCTCCTGGCCCGGGGAGAGGGCAGTGGCAAGGCAGGCGCTTGTGTTTGGGGGGGGGCAGCACCCCATTCCCCCCTCTGTGGCTCTTTCCGTTTCAGTCCAATGCCGAGAGCGAGCGGACAGAGCGGGACGCCGTCCGTCTGGCCAACGAGATGCAGGCAGAGTATTGGTCCGTTTCGGCCAAAACAGGTCAGTTGAGCCCCAGGAAGGCAGCACAGCGGATGGGGGAGGGAATGGCTCCCCTTGCCCCCCCCGCCCCCGTGCTGTCTGGGAGGAGCTGCTGGGCCCCAAGTGTCACCCACCCAGCTTTGGCACTCCAAGGAGAGGCTTCCTCGTGTGCAAGGGAGGCCTTGGACCACCACGCCCACGTGCCTGTGCATTTGTTCTCCCAGCAAGCAGCCATGTTTTGTCTGTTCTTGGGATACAGCGGCCGCCGCCGCTAGCAATACATCCGCTTGCCGGGTTTTAAGGATTTGGGGCGTCTTCCCCGTCCTTTTTCTCTTTCTGCAGGGGAAAACGTCAAGGACTTTTTTTTCCGGGTCGCTGCCTTGGCCTTCGAGAAGTCTGTGCTAATGGAGCTGGAGAAGAGCTGCAACCGGCTGCTGCCAATCGGCACAGGGGACTTCATCAGTATGTGGGCCTAACACCCCACCCCCCGATTCTCGGGAAAGCAGTCAAAGGGGGTCTTTTCTTCCAGATCAGCGTTTCTCAGCCTTGGCACCCTGAAGACGGGTGGGGGGGGCGGCTTCAGTCCTCTGAATTCCCCCAACATGCCGACTGTGGAATTCCGGGAGTTGACATCCACCCACCTTCAAGTGGCCACGGCTGAGAATCGCGCAGGGGGCGGCTCAGGTGCTCCTGTCCAGAAGCAGCTCCTGTGGGGGCTTCTTCCGGTTGAGCCCAGGTAACGGCCGCATTGGCAGCTGAGGGGACATCCAAGCCCATCCTGGAAAAAAAGGGGTACAACAACTGGCATTTGGGGGTGGGAGGAGAGGAATCCTCTGAAGGCCCCCCTCCCTCCCGCAGGTCACAGGTAGGCACCGTAGCCCTCTTCTTGGTCTCCTCTTGCAGGGATCGAAGAAAACGCGGCGTCTTCACCTGGATCTCGTCCGTCCAACCTGAACTGCTGCTGACGGCTTCCAGGGGAGACACCGTAGGCTGCCCCCATTGCTCTTAGACGAGCAGGAAACCAACTGGCTCTCCCAAGAACCAGAAGCAGAGCCAGTCCCCACCTTCGCTCCTCCCAAAGCCCTCCGAGCCATGGAGGAGAGGAGCCGCCTTTCTCTCCCTGGAAACTCTGTGCTCCAAATGCGGAGCATTCTGCCTTCTCGTTACCTATTGGAGATGGTACAAACGGACCAGGTCTGCTGACTGGGCAGGAGTCAAACCAGCTAAGACTTCTTGGCAGCCGCAAATTGAACTGGACGTCTAGTTAAAGCTTAACCGTGAAATAGCTGTTAAAACCGGCAGGAGGAGTTTGAACCAAGAGGGAGAGATCTGGAGTGAGAAAACCCCCGACTGTCTCCGATTTAGGGCCTGTCTAGTGGACTCGACCCCAGAGCATCTTGCACCGAATTGTTTGAATTACTCGCTAGCTTGGCTTAGAATTACTGCCAGAGCAACTCCTGTAAAAACAGGCCTTTTATTTTCATGCAGAATTAAAGGCTGTGCCGGAGACCCCAGGACTCTGTGCTGTGCCATCTCTCCGTAACTCAGCCAAGACCTTAGCAGCCATTGGTGAGCCTCCCCAGCGATAGCAACGGCCCTTAGACTCGTATGCCGCTTCACAGTCCTTCACAGCCCTAAGCTGTACAACCACTGTGCCGCGAGAGAGCTGGGTTCAAGGAGGGAGACATCTCGGCTAGCAGTGGAGACGTCGGTCTAGCTCCACAGGGAAGAAAGAGAAGGAGAATGGAATGGCCACAGTTGTGCCAGGCCTGCCCTTCCTGGTTGAGCGGAAAATGTGCCCATCCCAGACCAATGAACATTTCCTGCTGCCAAATGATGCATAAGGTTAGGCGTGGCTGTGTTTGCGGAGATTTTCCTCTATGGGTTGTAATTGTTTCACCACACATTAACTTTGAGTAGTACAGGTAGCCCTTGGTTTACGACCACAGTTGAGCCCCAAATTTCTGTTGCTAAGTGAGACAATTAAGTCACTTTTGTCCCCGGCCACAGTTGCCAAGTGAACCACTGCAGTTGAGTGGGTAACACCGTTGTTAAGTGAATCTGGCTTCCCCATTGATTAATTTTGGAGGCTTTTTGCAATTTGAACTCGGGAAAGAAATCCCTCCAAGACCACCACCCCCGCCCTCCGTGCTCCCACCCCTAGGGAGGCTGCAACCAAGCCGGCCTTTCCTGTGGGGTCCAGCACAGCCCTCGCCGAGAGGGGCTCTAGTGACCAAATAGCCGCTGCCTGTTCCACTTGCAAACATCATCTTGTTTTTTCCAAGTTTAAAACCAGTTTCTCACACACCCCCTTTGCTCAGTGTTGGTTCTGGCATATGTCCTGCAAGGCTGCCTCCTTGACTCTCTCAATCCTGCAGGGCAGTCAGTCACTTTGCAATTTGAGTTTGTGGTTAAAAGTTGCATTAACCAGGAAGCACAAGGGAGATCCTCGCCCCCCCCCCGCCCCCTCCGGTTGTGAGTCTGATCTGCCGAAGGAGCGTTGTACAGCAACGCCAAGCACAGAGTTCGAGTTCCGCTGGTGCTGAATGGACTTCTCCGGACTTGGTTCCCATAGCCAAGAGAAGACCGGAGGCCCCCAAGAAGCCTCGCTGCCTTTGCTGGCTGCTGAGATCCAGGCCTGGCGGGGGCGGGGGGCGGCCTTCTTCTCCCGGGATCCCGGAGCGCAAGGGAGCCGCTTCCTTTGGCGCCGCGGAGAGCCGCCGGGTCGCGGGAGGAAGAAGCCCGCGTCGGGCCCCTCGCCTGGCCCCGTTCTCCGTGGGAGGCGCTCCGGCAGGGCAGCTCAGGGCTCCCGCAAGCACAGCCGCCTCCCCTCGCAGGACGCGCTTCTCCGTGGGCTTCGGCCTGCACTTTTGCATTGGCGCGCCCGGCCTCGCCCAGCCCTTCCCCGAGCGCAGCCGGTTCGAGGCAGCGCTTCTTCCTCCGGGCTGTTGCGGAACGATCGCAAGGCAGGCAGGCCGCCCGCCCCCCCCCCCCCCCCCCCCCACACACACCCGGGAGAGCGAGTGCAAAATCCGGGACTGTCGGCTGCTGCTCGGTCCCCAACGCCTCTCCGGCGCCGGCTGCTGCATCGGGGAAGCCGAGCCCGGCCCCAGCGCCTCCGTAGCCGGCACCGCATCCCGCGCGGAGGTCGGCAGCCGGCGCTCTGCACGGGCGCGGAGGAGGCGGCCGCTCCTCCCCGCGGAGCCCGCCGCAGTTCCTTTAAGGGGCCGCCCCGCCCTCGCCCCGCCCCGTCCGCGCGGCCGCTCCCCAGAGGAGGCAGGACGGGCCAGCCGCGATGGCGAGCCGAGCCGGGCCGCCGCGTCACCTGGGGCCGGTTCAGCGCGTCCCGCCCCGCGCCGGCTAAGCGCATCCGGAGCCCCGCGGGATCGGCGCGCAGGCAGACGCGCGGGGAGGAGCCGCCAGACCCCCGCCTCGCCCCCGCCCGGCCGGCCGGCGCGTCCCCTCGCCTCGCCCGCTGCCTCTTTGTTCTTGCCTGCCTGCTTGCCTGCCGCCGCCGCCGCCGCGGCTCGGAGGGGCGCGGACCCGGCCATGGGCGGCGGGCCGGCCCAGAGAGCTGGAGGCGGGTCAGGACCGCCGCCGCCGCCGCCGCCTCGGAGCAGCCCGCCCGCCGCCGCCGCCCCCCGGAGATGAGCGCCGGGCGCTGCTGGCCCTGCGCGCCGCCCTGATCCCTCCTTCGTCCGCGGCGGCGGCGGCGGCGGCCGGCCCGTTGCCATGGTAGACCCGGTGGGCTTCGCCGAGGCGTGGCGCGCCCAGTTCAACGACGCGGAGCCGCCCGCGATGGCGCTGCGCTCGGTGGGCGACATCGAGGCGGAGCTGGAGCGCTGCAAGGCGTCGATCCGCCGCCTGGAGCTGGAGGTGAACAAGGAGCGCTTCCGCATGATCTACCTGCAGACGCTGCTGGCCAAGGAGCGCAAGAGCTACGACCGGCAGCGGTGGGGCTTCCAGCGCGGCCCCGAGGCCGACGACGACAGGCCCGCCCGCCCGCGCCCCCCCGCCCTGCGCAAGCTCTCCGCGCACAGCGACGGCAGCTCGGAGGCGGACGCCGCGCAGCCCGGCGAGGAGGAGCGCGCCAAGCCCGCCGCAGCCGCGGACGAGAAGCCCCGGGAGGAGGGCGCCGCGGCGGGCTCGCCGGGCAGGGCGCGGCCGGCCCCCAGCGGCAGTCGCCGCCGCCTCCCCGCCGCCGCTGCCTCCGCCACCTCGGGGGAGCGGGACGGGGCCGCCTTGGAGGCGGGCGGCAGGGAGCGCGGGCAGGGCGGCGGGGGCGGCGGCGCGGGGCTGCTGCGCTCCGGCCAGGAGCGCGGGAGGAAGGCGCCCTCGTCGCCCTCGCGGCCGCCGGACGGCCGGGAGGCGGCCGAGAAGCCCTTCTACGTGAACCTGGAGTACCACCGCGAGCGCGGCCTGGTGCGCGTCAACGACCGCGACGTCTCGGAGCGCATCAGCGCGCTGGGCAGCCAGGCCATGCAGCTGGAGGCGCGCAAGAAGCTGCCGGGGCCGCCGCGGGGCCGCTCGGCCGACGCCGCCTACGACGACGGGGCCGAGTACGAGGACGCGGAGCTGAACGCGCGCTTCCTGAAGGACAACCTGCTGCTGGACGGCGCCGGCCGGCCCGTCTGGACGGCCGCCTCCCCCGCCGCCGCCTTCCAGCCCTACCAGAGCGTCTTCGTGGGCGGCTCGGCGGGGGCGTCGGAGCCGCCGCTCACCTGGCCGCGCCGCTCCTACTCGCCGCGCAGCTTCGAGGACCTGGGCGGGGGCGGCGGCGGCGGCGGCGGCTACACGCCGGACTGCAGCTCGAACGAGAACCTGACGTCCAGCGAGGAGGACTTCTCCTCCGGCCAGTCGAGCCACGTGTCGCCCAGCCCCACCGCCTGCCGCCTCTCGCGCGAGAAGAGCCGCTCGCCCTCGCAGCACTCGCAGCAGTCCTTCGACAGCAGCGGCAGCCCCCCGACCCCGCAGGCCCCCAAGCGGCACCGGCACCACCCGCAGGCCGCCGGCCCCGAGCCCGCCCTCGGGGCGCCCCGGAAGAGCGCGCCGCCCTGGCCTTGCGACGGAGACCCGCCCGCCGGGAGGGGCGCCACCGAGGGCTGTTTCCATGGCGACGCAGGTGAGCCCCGGGGGGGCTCCCCGGAAATGGGGGAGGGCGAGAGTGGGTCCCGTCGGTTTCAACCAAACTCCGACATTTTCCGCCGGAGGGGAGCTACTTTGTACACGCAGAGACCCCCACAAGGCAACAGAAACCCAAGTCAGGAATTGTGTGGTATTCCCAAAGTCTTGGAGGGGTCTCTCCCACCCCCCTTCCACACTCCTGGTCTGGAGGGGGAGGGGCAGCGGCTTCTTCTGGATCCCTTGGGGTGGTGGGGGTGGAGGGGATCGCCTGCTGCGATCCCAGCTCCCCCTCCCCACCCTTCCCCTCAGGCTGTCAGGCCCACCAGATCCCACCAGGTTCTCTCTCTCTCCAAGGCCCCTCCCCAAACAGTAGCGGGCGTCCCTGGGGAGCAGAGGCCAAAGGGGGCAGGCCAGGCTCTCCCACTAAGGGGTCCAGTGGGACCCTGGGAGACGCCTGCTTGGCCTGGGGGCTGCTGTGATTGAGCCAGAAAGGACAGGGCCTCCCCCCCACCCCCCCATTAGCTTCAACAGGCAGCAGGGAGCCTCCAAGAGCCTGGACCCATCCTGGCATTCGCTCCGTCCCTGAAGGAAAGGCTGAGCTTCAGAGGAGGGGGCAGCCGAGCCTTCTCCTGCCCCCCCCCCACCCCCAGTCAGGTGTGGTTGGGTTCAGGTAGGGCTTCCACGGCACAACCTGGATTTCAGGGGGCTCCTTTCTAGCAACAGCGCCTGGAGCTCAGCTGGCAGATCAGCCTCATTGGAGCCAATGATCTGACTGCTCCCATCTGTGTGTGTGTGGGGGGTGGGGGCTTCTCTCACCACCCCTGAGACAAGGCGGGCCTTGGCACTTGCCCTCCACCTGCAGCAGAGGCCCTGGTGGGTCTTCTTCCCTTTGGGACATTGGCCAGGCAGAGGGGCCTGCCTGGAGGTCCTTCCTCCCCTTAAGGAAGGTGGGCCGCCTTTGCCTGCCAATGACCCCTCAAAATGGCTTGGAAGAAAGAGGCAGAGCCCACAGCCAGGTGGAAGCGAAGCGGCTGGGCTGGACGGAGCCCAGCTGGAGGCCCCTGTGGGGAAACTCGGTGGTTGAAGGGTCCATGGAGGCCTCCTGTTGTGGGGGAGTGAGAGGAGCCAACGAAGGAAGAGCCTCACCTCTGTCTCTGGCAGGCTGAGCTTGGCAGATGGTGGCCCCCAGCACTGATGCCCTGGAGAGTGGGGGGGGGGGGGGGGGGGGGGGGGGGGGGGGGCGGGGAGGGGGGAGGG